AAATTACATTGACATGGCCTATTTCACAAACTTATTAATTCAATAAATTAACAACGCTGTATAAATTTACTTAGTTAGGCTCTCGATGCCTCGGCCAGTCAATTAAAACCAATGCCCGTGAGAAAAGAAATTCACAAACAGAACGTCAGCGAATTGTTCCAAGCGAAATATTCGATTCTATGCAAAACATTCGACCGGCAATCAACCCCTATTAAATAGAAGCGCTTTGATAGGGACTCGTGTAACGGGGTTAATAGTTTTTCCTTGGGTTTCGCGCGTCGAGTGGACGCACGTGCGCATTTATCGTGATTTATGGCTTTTTTCCGCTGCGTTTCGACACCCTCCTCCTTGTTTTGCATTTAACGGAGGCGGGATTTGAATACACTGGCCGATTCGTACGCGTGACGCTCGGCAAGCTCGTGTAATTGCTCGTCGCAGGTGAACGAATGAGAGAAAAAAAAAAAAGAAAAAAAGAAAGGGAACGCCTCGAGGGTGGTAATTTATTCCTGCTGCTGGAGGAACATGTGCCAATTTCACTTCGGCCAGCCTGTGAAATTGGATAACGATTCAACGAATTCTTGACAATTTTAATTGCATCAGGCATCTGCGGAAATTGGCGACAGTACATGGAAAAGTATGAACTCGGGGAATTTTATTCAAGCATAGTAAAACGGATCTTAGTGACGGATAGGCATATTTATCAATATGAAGGCAATAAGTGCTCGCATCTCGCAATAGAATATTGACAAAAATCATATCTAATACAGAGGTTACGCCATTTTCAAACTGTTCTTTTTTTTTTTTTCGTCGCCGTACAAGCGCAAGAGACAAAAGTATAATTGTTTCTTTTTTTTTTTTTTTTTTTTTTGGAAAAAAAGTGTTGTTTCTCGTCAGACCTGAAATATGAGCAGCTTGATCCTGTATGGCTTGTACAATTGCAGTGCCACAATCCTCGAACGGAACATCACATTCTTACGGATGTTAAATCGTAGCGAACTACTTAATATACTACGAAATGCTTTAGACAGCTCTCCCGAGCAAAAAGTTCTGCGTGATGCATTTTTAGATTGTTTCTATAATTACCAAGAACGGCCGTTCGATCTGTCATGGTGGCAAAAGTTATTCTGGTCCCTTATATTCGCCGCAATGTTGTTGGTGGCAACGTGTGGCAATGTTATCGTCATATGGATTGTACTTGGTAAGTGTCCCTTTATCACATCGGAGTTGGGTAAAAAATTAATCAACGATTAACGATTATACTTTTTTTAATAATCTTTAACCACAATTGATGATTACATTTCAATTTTAGTTGTTAATTATATAATAACAACAATTAAATTCCTACTTTACTTGTTAATTACGATTAAAGATTACATCCCTACTGCGATCGTTAATTGTTATTAATTTTAATTCAATTTTAATTCAATTTTCAATTTTAACTGTTAGCTGGACATCGATTTTATGAATAAAATTTGTCGATGCATTTGTAATGATTTATTGACTTTGAATGATCATGCTATTAATTAATAATATCATTAGAAATTTATTATACATTTGTATTTATAGTGAACTTTATATTGCACAATTAAGTTAAATTTGTAATTACACTGCAGTTTTGTATGATTCAATTTATGTTTCATATGTTATATGGATTTTCATGTGACATTTCATATTTCGTGAAATAAATTTGTATAATTCATCGTAGTGACTATATTCAGTATAATGAGTTTTTATGACGTCGAATATGAATTAGTTTATACCCTTGTATTTTCAACATGAGGTAATAATTAAGTGAAAGAAATGCATAGGAAAATTTCAAATATACAATAGTTTAAATTAAATTATAAATAAATTATAAATAAATTATAAATAAAATTAATAAAAAAATTAATTAAATAAAGTAATTAAGTAATTAAATTAAAAATAAAATTAAATAGTTTAAATTATATTATAAATGATGATAAAAAGAAAAATTTGAAATATAAAGTGATAAAGATGGCCATTCTTTATTATTTATTACTAAATTATTTTAAATAACTGTTATAATTGAATAAAAACAAAATACCGAGCCATTTGTGCAATTTTAATTTTTGAAGTTATTTTTAAATGTTCACATTAATATCATGTAAATTTTTTTTATTTATTTATAATTTGTGTCTACTTTAAAGTACTTATTCGGGATGAGTTATATAATTTGTCTATCTATCAATAGATCAATAAATAACTGCATAAATGTCACGCACATTGAAATTATGTACAAAATGTTTTCTACTTTTTCAACAAAATTCTCAGAGTATACTCTGTGAAAAAAATAAAAAAATAAAAAAAAATATTATGTGTCATATGCAGTTTGTTTGTAAACGCTTTGTGAAAATATTGAATGTATTCCGAATACATTTAATACGTTCGAAGTTTGATTTTAAATCTCTTATGGAAAACTCAGTATTGAAATTCAGAAACAAAACACATGTGAAGAATTAATTCAATAAATACATTCAATTGCCAAGATGCAGGAAAATTCTCAAGAAATTCAGAATCTAATAAATTTCACATTATCAAGCTTCAATGCAATGGATGATCATTTTGAAGTGAGAATTTCAACAGTTCCAACGATCCTTATACATTAAGAAATACTTTGTATAGCAGACATATTTGGACTGTGTTTAATATTCGCCTACAATTTCGTAATAAAAAGGCAAATATCAAATGGGTAGTACGATTTATAGGTAATATCAAAGTGCAAAATTGTGGAGAAAACGTGCAACATGGAAAAGATATATAAACTGATAAATAAATATCCAAATAATAATAACAATATACAATAATATACAATAATATAATATAATATTTAATAATATACAATAATATACAATAATATAATATAATATTCAATAATATACAATAATATACAATAATATAATATAATATTCAATAATATACAATAATATACAATAATATAATATAATATTCAATAATATACAATAATATACAATAATATAATATAATATTCAATAATATACAATAATATAATATAATATTCAGTAATATACAATTATATAATATAATATTCAAGAATATACAATAATATACAAATATCCAAAGTATGATATATTTTGTAACATTGTACGTGTACGTAACTTTTACCAAGGTTCTATTTTATTATATTGTAAAATGTAATTTCCGTATATTCTCAATTTGCATAAAAATTCGTCTAGTCTGGTTATAGGATGAAGTTTGATAAATGGTAGATTCCGCGTGATTCCTGACGAGACGAGAGAGGCTTTTGTTATGATAAACGTCCTTTAGAGATAGCGATGTCAGCTTGACGATGCATGTCAATGATAGAGTTGGACGGGAAATGATGAGAATAATTGTTGTCTCGAAGGATGTTGCAGAGAAAAAAATGTGAAACCTGAATGCAAGAGTTTCAACTCTTTCGGATTCAAAATTAACTGTCGAGTGTATGGTGCGAAATTTGTAAATTGATAGCTCCAGTGGCAAAGGATGTTTGGTAAACGGGCGGTCGATTATGGCGGAATGATTATGGCGATAATGTCAAAAGCACAGCATCCCAGATAAGCTCAGAATCAAAGACAATGAGCAGCATGCGCTTATACGCTTATAAACGGGTGTTCCGAATTTAAATGTCAAAACTTACAGAGGATCGATAAATTAAGGGAAAAAGTATTTTAGAGATTTGTTCGTTTTTTTTTTTTTGTTTTAAAGAAAATTGCAAAGAAAAAAGAAAGGAATAAAAGAATTTTAATTTTCTTTCTTCCTCGGTAAATTCGGATAATAATCAATTCAGGAGAGTAGCTGAAAATCGTAGTTGCAGTGAACCAAGAACGATATCCAGTTACAATCAGAATGATCGACGTTCGATCTAATGTTTACATTAAAGTGAATGACCTTTTGAACAGCATTTTCATCAAGTATTATTAGATGACATAAATGATAATAGATGACGTTATGAGACGATAATATGGATGATAAAATAGACGATAATATCATTAAGATGGAAAAAAACGAAAACTATTTTTTGTTTCTTTCTCGTTGCCATTTTGTCCTAAAATGGAGCAGAAACGAGCAAATTTAAATTTTTTTCTTAGTTTATTAGACTTAGTGTAGAACGTTTTTTTCTTAGTTTATTAGACTTAGTTTAGAACGTTTTTTCTTAGTTTATTAGACTTAGTTTAGAACGTTTTTCCTTAGTTTATTAGACTGAACTTTTAAAATTTAAATTTGGGACATCTTGTACAGTATTTATGAATTGATGTTCTTCTGTGTGTCAAAGTACGCCGCCTTAATGAGACGCTTCATAGTGTTCAAGATTGTAGCCTGGTTCTGAGACATTTACACGTCCTTGAGAATTCAACAGTATTAGGCTCATAGTCGATTCCTCATAGAAGCGGAGCTCTCGGCAGTAATTAGAAGGGGAAGCCAGAGGTCATCTAGTGCATGATATCAGTCATCTATTACCCATTGCGTGATTATTGATACTATAACTATCATTTATTATTGCTCATCGTAATTCTAAGTTGTACAACTCTGTTTACTTTAGTGTATTTTTAGTATATTTTGTTTTAGTTTATTATTTATTTTTTGTTATTATCATTTATTTATTTTGTTATTATTATTTATTTATTTTTTAGTTTACCCATCGCGTGATTATTGATACTATAACTATCATTTATTATTGCTCATCGTAATTCTAAGTTATACAACTCTGTTTACTTTAGTGCATTTTTAGTATATTTTATGATAGTTTATTATTTAGTTTTTGTTATTATTACTTATTTATTTTTTAGTTTATTATTTATTTTGTTTTAGTTTATTATTTAGTTTATTATTTATTTTTGTATTTTTAGTATATTTTATTTTAGTTTATTTATTTTTCGTCTTTCATTTGGTTCATTAATTTATTTCGTTTATTGTTCGAAACGCCTGATCTCCCGGAGGAGTTATTAAAAACCTCCGCGGTTAATATAACCTGTTCTAAGACACCAAGTATCTAGTTCATTTCGTAGTAATCAGGACCTGAGAGGCAAATTCGTTTCTTATTTTCCTTTGCATTTCAACTCGGGGGGGATGAACGTCTGGTTCTTATGACAAAGACACATTTTATCTGTCAAGAATCACGGCATCCCAGATAAGCTTAGAGTCAAAGACCAACATGGCTACGCTTGTATAGTGCAATTTGTGAAGCAGTAGAACGAATATGTGAGGACAGAAAGCAAATTTCGTAATCGTCGATTGCTTGTTCAATTTTGACGAATTCACGTTCAGTGCATGATCAATGATCAAGCTATATCTGCGACGAATATGAGCGAATATTCGCGTAGTTCGAACCGAGTATAGACGAATGAAGAATTCAATATTATTAGACGTGGATTTTTATGCATGGAAGATTTTTACGATTGGAAAATGTGAAAATACAGGACAAAATATAAGATGTTGCGTTTTAGTGCTTGAATATTTTGTATATTATATCTCGTACATTCCGTATATAGTAAATAGTATTTATTATGGTACAATTTATTTGTTAAAACAGCCTCTTATCTCTAAAAATGTATGACAAATTTGTTCATGAAAATTCTAATGTTTTTGTTTTTTTAGATGAATACGAATTCTCTATTGGTTAGATCGTGAATATTTCTAACCGATAGTATAAGTTATTATACAGCTTGTCAATATATAAGAAAATTGTTTCAGTGAATTAAAATATTGGAATTTATTGAATTGCTTATCGGAGGAAAAATGAATATGTGATAAATGTATGATAGAACGAATAACATATATTATTTATATAATATAATATAATACAATATTATAGTATATTTTAATATTATGGTATATTATAGTATTTTTTATGGTATATATTATATTGTTTTTATGGTATATTATAGTATATTTTAATATTATAGTATATTATAGTATATTTTAATATTATGGTATATTATAATATATTTTAATATTATAGAATATTATAGTATATTATAGTATATTTTAATATTATGGTATATTATAGTATATTATATTTATAGTATATATAAGGGCGTTAACTCAACGATACACTATATATATATATACGTTTTACAATGTATATTTATCATGTATTCACTTTTACACTTTTTATTTTATTCATTTTGTTATTTATAATATTTTGTAGCTAATGAATCATATTTTTATTTCCTCTTT